CACTGCGCATACACCTGCCAGGAAAGCACCTCATTGCAGATAGGTCTTATGCAAACTGGACCTGGTGCTGGCAGCTTTTCAGAAAGACAACATATTGGAGTTCTTGCTCATCATGCTGCTTTTCCCAAAACCAAAAGTGGAGGGCAGGACACCTCACGTACACAACACGAGTGTACGTTATCTGCCAGCCCTTCCCGGGTGGGGAGGGTGTTTGGAAGCGCAGCTGGGCGGGAGGCTGGTTGCCCCAACTGCTCCCTCCCTGCGGGCCCGAGGACAACCCACCCTTTGGCCCCGGGGAGAGCCCATTGCACCCCACCCACCAGTACAGAGAAAGCGACTGGCCTGGATGTCGCAGCCCCTGAAACAGACCCCTCTCTCCTCCAGCAGTGCCTTCCCTTGGGAGGTTGGTCCATCCTTCGGTGATCCGGGTCCTGACATTTCTCTCCCAAAGCATTCCCAGGGCTGCCTTTTTTGGCCTCTTTCTTCTATGGCCCCACACTCTGCTGCTGAGGCAAGGCCTACGGAAACTGCCAGCCAATACCTGCAATTTTTCTTCCCAGCTGTTTTCCATTTCCTTCATGACTGTGGACTTTTGCTGACCGTGGAGCTCCCCATAGCTCCAGCATGCAAGGCACAGAGTTCAAGGTAAAAAAGAACGAACTCACTGGTCATTTGCCTATTTTATGTGCTGCTGGATGCAAACAACGTCTCTACGACTTCCCTAATTTGTGCACCAGCAATCTTTTGGTAGCACATTTAAGCAGGCTAAGGTCTCCAGCTGGAACAGCTGGTACTGCTGGCCAGGCTACAGTCAGGCCTCCAGACACGTCTTGAAGGAGAAGTGCTGCGGTACGGTTCCTTTTTTGTTTGCGCTGCTCCCTCCACCTGAGGAAACGCAGTAAAAGCAGTCATGGTAAATGCACTGGGTGCCCTGGTTACTGCTAAGGGAATAGTCTCTGGGGATGAAATCTCTGTTTGTCACTCAGAAGCCTGACAGAGGAAGACCTCTTTCAAAGGATCAAGAAGTCCTGAAGTTGAGGATGAACAGAATATTCAAGCCATTTTAATTGACAGTCAAAGAAGGGAGTAAAAAATATTGAAAAGGTATATGTTCTGGTTTCCAGTTCAGAGCAGACACCACAAAGAACCCAGAGATTATCTGCAGAGAGTAAAGTCCAAGATAATCAGACTTCAGTCTAGAATTTGGGCTTTGATTCATGAGTGAAGTTACTTTAGCTTCTCCTGCTGATCAGTCCGTGCAAGCTTTGTACCATGAGAGAATGTATTTTGTGTAACACAGGGAAAAAAATATCTCAAGTGAGCCTTTTTGTTGATCTGTAACATACATCACAATTCAACAAAAAAGTCCAAGTGCCATGTGGTATATTCAATAGCCACAGAAATCCCTGAGCAGCTTGTTTGAGTTACTAGATTGCTACGTCTTGCCGTTAGAATTTGCTTCTCCCACTAAAATAGTATCCTAAAAATATACTGCTGCCATGTCACATAGTGTTGGATGAATGCAGCCACCCAGCATTGTTGCTGAGCTTACTTATGAAAGACAGACAAGAAAGAAACCTCCCAGGTCGACGGCTTTTTGTTCGCTTCAGACCTGTGTTTTGCCCCAATTCCTATCTTAAGCCCAAAGTCTGAAACAGTCATTCACCCTGCTGCTGACATTGATGTGTGTGAGCAGCTAAGGCCTGCCTATGCATATGACACCAAAAAACACTTCTGAGACATGGCACTTAGCCTGCTGGCTGGGAGCCGTCTCTTCCTGGAGCAGGACATGAGGTCCCACTAACAGCAATGCAAATTATTGTGAGAGGATCCTCCCCAGCAACCCCTTTCCTGAAGGGATACACACAGACAGCTTGGTGGCTGCCATGGTGGGATGTTTCACACCAAGTTATGGATGATGGGGATGTGAGGAGGTACTGACACATGCACAGGGGCAGTGGACCTCATTGGTAGCTGGCAGGAGGACATATCTGTAATGGGCTTTTCCTTGGTGGGGCAGCTGCAGGGATGTTTTTCTCAGGAGTTGGGATGCACAGGTTTTTCCGTCACACCATGCGTGCCTTACCCAAGAGACCCAGAAAGCACTGCAAGGTTGGGAAATAAGCTCTGCCCAGGTGAGAAACACGCTTCATCAGGTGATACGTGAATCAAAATGTTTTCTTCTGGGCTGGACAAGCAGTTGGCCTGCCGGTCCTCATGGTTCCCTGAGTCCCAGGCAGTGGCAGTGCTGGAAGGAACTGATGGGTCCTGATCTTCACCCAGGATGGGGCTCTGGCAGGGCACTGCAGTGCAGCTATCTGCCTGCTGCTCAAGGACAACTCTGCTGCTTCATGTGACATTAATTTTTTTTCCCCTTGGGCAGCAGTAGGGGTGGGAGGGAGGGGTCCTACAGTTCTTTTCTGCGGATCCGCTCACCACTGGAGGAGGCATTTTGAGCACCACAAATGACTCTTTCCATGGCAGTCACCTCTATTATGCATCATGCTCACAAAACCCTCGACTGCAATACAATTCTTCTATCTCAATTACAGTAAGTTGCACCTAAGGAAGAAGCAGAGCTGCAGTCAGCCCCACAGAAAAAGAAATCTTGAACTCCAGAGACAAATTCAATTATTCACAAAGAGAGCCTTTTCAGAAATGCTACTGCGCCAGTTCCTCCTGCCAGAGGCGAGGATGATTACCCTTGCAGACTGGTGTCCTCTAAACATTGCTTAAAGGAAGCGCTACTCCCCAGTGAAAAAGAGATGGAGACTTTGAAGCAGGAATTTCATTAAAGAGTAAACTAAACTAACCTTTCAGGTTTGCTTGGTGCCTGGCACAGAATCTGCCAGTTTGTCATTGTGTTTTGTTTTTGAGCTGCTTGGAAAACTGTACTAATGACTCTGTAGCTGGCAGGCAGCTTTGGCTATGGCACCTCATGGAGTGGTGGACGAGTGGTGGCACAGGCTAGAGGAGCAGTGTGGCAGGGGACAGGGCACTGGGGTGGCAGTGGGATCGCCCCCAGGCTTCTTCAGTGACCCTCTGCTTCCTCCACGTCCCCATCCTCAGCTCTTGTGTCTCTTGCCTGCTCGCAGCACTGTCTCTTCTGCATGGGGAGGAGAGGGGCAGGGGGTTTCTCATGCTGCTTCCTTCTCCTCCTCCTCCTCCTCTCTCATGGTACACACGCTTGTCCACACGCTGTGTTCGATGTAATGCAGCCCTGGTTTCAGCCAGGGTGTTTAAGCAGCATGGCAAGGTGTACACGCTTCCCTCTCAACAGCAATTTTTCCAGCTGAAAGACGTTTAAAGATCTGAAGGGATTTATGATCCCTTCTCCCTCACTGACGGCTCAGACTAGGCTCAGCCCTGACCACCTCTCTGCTCCAGCACCGGGGCTGCTCCATCACCTTTCCCAGTTCCACTGCCGCTCCCAGTGCCAATGCCAGCAGAATTCGAGACAGCCCTTTCTACAAATGTTTCATTTGCCATTAAGTCCTGCAGACATTTTGGGGCCAAATCCAACCGGACAACATCTCTTTAATTATGCCTTTTGCTCATCCCACTGGTTTCTTCATTCTGTAAATAGGGAACTTGCTTCTGAGCAGCCTCGCCCAAGACTGTAAGTCAAAATGAATAGATAGACAAGGACTACTGCCCTTAAATCCTCTCTTCTTGCAGTCTGCATTAAAAATCTCTTTGTGACCACTCTGTGTTTACAAAGCCTTTCAGATAAGGCAACAGGGTGCTTTTTGGGACAGCAGAAGGATCACAGGGAGTGATCTAGTGCTGGGTTCCTCTATGTGCACATCTCTGACTCAATTCCTGTGTTACAAGAAGGGATTGCAAAAGCTGGCAGTAGTTCTGCTAATTAGAAGGCCTAACTTACAGGTCATGTTCCAGAGAAAGAGAACATATGTTTAGGGACAAATTGAAGACAATCAGACCCCTCACCTTCTCTACCATTCCAACACAGGTCCCTGTGTTCTTCTGTTCCCATTTCACATCAACAATGGTCCGTCAGTTTAAGCTGTTGAACATCGCAGTGCAAAGTGTAAGTTGCTCAAAAGGCAAAGTATAAAAAGCGCAACAAACTAACAAAACAAATACAAAGCACATTGACCAAACAGCCACACACCAATGAAAAGCCACTGTGTGAAGCCAGCCATTTTAAAAAAAAAAAAAAAAAAAATTTAGAGAGTCATTATTTTCAAAATGAAATGGAAGGCATATGTGAGACCAGCCTTGCTTTCTTCAGTTGTTCTCTTTTCCAGCTACAGCACAA